TTCCTTCCGCAGTTTGAAAATGGCGCGGACGGGCGAGCTGGGCCCTTCCACCCGAGGCGCCGCGGTTGCCCCGGTAACGGGAGCGGCGGGCCGGGCGCGACGCGCGCGCCAGGCAGCGATGGCGGCGCTGGACCCCGGTGCCCGGAAACGCAACGGCCCGGAAGATGCGGGGCCACGGCGCCCCCTGGCGGAAGGCGTCCGCAGCTAGCCAATCCCGAGCCTGCGCCTGACAATCTCAGACCCCCGCTGTTCCGGGGCCGGTCAAAGACTGGCGATCACCTGCAGGGTGGACGCCCACTCACTACGCAGCCGCCAGCGGAGAGATCGCGTTGTAGAAATGATAAATGATTATCCCATAAGTGATTATCGCACAAGTGATTATCCCATAACCTATTCCCCTAAGGCTTTGTGTAGACCCATAGAATAGGATCCACGCATCAAAACAGGATTACCTGTCTCCTTGCCCCCCCCAACTGTGAATTTTTTTTGTATAAGATGATTTTTCTCAGCTATGTTTCCCTAGCACCTACCACAATAAACATTTGTGAATGGAATTAAACACAAATAAACTGCATGTAGAGAGACCCTATTCACAGAGGGAAAGCACGTGGTCGAATCCTAGTCCTCTTCTTTCCTGAAAGCTTTCTAGATGATCAGAAAGGAGCTCGATTCTTTCGTGCTTAGCCCTCTCCAGTCTGAGGCCAGCCTGGGCTACAGGGTGAGTTCAAGGCCAGCCTGCATTACAGAGCCAGACGCTGTCTCAAAATAACAAAGACGACGGACGTATTATGTACATGCACCAACTCCCCAAGATGAACGCAATCATTATGTACTACAAACATTACAAATAATGATTTTTATAAAACAGACTTGCTTCATGACTGGGGCTATTCTAATAATAGGGAGAAGGAAGAGACCGATGTAAAGAAACAAAGGAATAACCTTCACTGAGCTTGCAAACCAAAATGCCAAAATAATGAAGAAATCTAATGCTAGCAAAGATAGCCAGCAAAATAAACAACCAAAACATGAATTCTCGCCAGATGAAATGAAGTCTTTATAGGAATATGTTTAAAATGATGTAGATCGAGGTTTCACAGCCTCTGCATTTCTGACATTTGGGCTGGAAAATGCCTTTTTGGACAGTTCTGTCCTGCGTACTGTAGAAAGTTTAGCAACCTGCCTGGCTGCTGGAGTCCTGTGACAAACACATGTCTCCAGATGTTGCCCAGTGTCCCTGGGGAGGCAACATCACTCCTGCTGAGAAACACTGGTCTAGATGGGTGAAGGAATAACTGCCCTTAAAAGAATAGAAATTACTAAGTGGAACAAGAAGAGATAGGCATGCAAGGGAATCCATCAGAAAATTGGGATATTAAAAAGATAGTCATCAAAATTTTAAAAAATAAACTCTAGATTAGATAGTTATTATTATGTGTAATAAATTCTAGAGTAGTTAAAAGAATTAGACAATTTACATGAATCCCAGTGCAGATAAACAATTTTTTTTTTTTTTTTTTTTTCTTTTCGAGACAGGTTCTCGCTATGCAGTTCAGGCTGGCCTTGAGCTCACTTTGTAGCCCAGGCTAGTCTTGAACTTGCAACGATCCTCCTGACTCCGCCTCCCGAGTGCTGGGATTACAGGCGTCCGCTACCATGCCCGGCAAACAATAAAATATATATAAAAGCAATTAAGATAGATAGTAACTTGAGAAGCCCCAAGAATGCACAAAAGGGGACAGCATCTATGGCAGGCAGAATGGCCCCCCAAAGATGTCCACACCCTGATCAGTGGGACCTGTGAGTAGCTTACCTTACAGGGCAAGAGGGACTTGCTGATGTAATTAAGGGTGTCCTGGACTATCCAGGTATGCCCAATTTATTCACATGAACCCTTAAAATCAGGGAAGCATGAGGGCTTGAAAAGAAGGCTGCAGTGAGCTGGCTTGCTGTCTTCAAAATAGAAGGTGCAGTGTGCTGAGAGAAACCCCCTAACTGCATCTCAGCCCTACAGCTATAGTGAACTGAACCCATTACACCCTGACTGAGCTTAGAAGCAGATTCTACCCTAGACTCCCTTCTTGCTGCGTGAAAGCCCCGGCTGGGCTTATTACTGTTGCCTTATTTAGGCAGCAGAGCCCACCTGGACTTCTGATCTAAACGAATTTGTTTTGCTTTAATCTACTAAGTTCATGGTGATTTGTTACAGTAGCAATGGAAAACTGATACAGCAGAGAACCAGTGCTTCAGGAGAGAACAACTAAGAACATTCCAGAATCAAGACACATCCTCAGATAAAAAAGTTTGATATTTCTACCTAAAGACGAAGGTTAAATTTTTTTTGTTTGTTTGTTTTTTTTGTTTTTGGTTTTTCTCCGTTACCGGGAACTGAACTCACGACCTTGCACTTGCCAGGCAGGCACTTTGCTGCTGAGCTAAATCCCCAGCCCCCAGACAAAGGTTAAATGTGTACAGCAGCTTCAGCTCCCTCCCTCCCTTACCTCCCTAGAATGACAGTAAAGGGATTTGTAAGGTACTATAAAAAAGACATCAGCAAGGTACTGTAAAAAAGGCATCAAAGATAATGGTAAAGGAGGCAATAGGCAAAGCAAAATATGAAGTAGCGTCCTAAAGGGAGAGCGATGATAAACTGGCCTGTAAGGCAAATGTCACATTGCCTAATGCATATTTTTAAACCCTAGAGTCACATTCCGAGTGACTAGATGTTACTTTCCAGGAGGTGCAGGGAAATCAGGACGAACTGAGTGAACAGCAGAATCACATGTTTCACGTCATTTTCACAAAGGACACAAAGTAAAAATGTGGGCAAAGCTGCCCGAATCATTCAAACTGTGTTTGTGTTTTTCCTGCCTTCTTGTTTCTGTGTTTCTTAACTGAGAATTTATGTAAGTAAAGAGCCTTGTGTGATGAAACTCCATTATATCTTCTGGATTGAATTGTTTCCTCCAGGTTTGTATTTTGCATCTCTAACTCCCAGTCTAAACAGCAGCCTTGTGCGGAAGGGGGGTCTTTGCAGATTTGATTAATTAAAGTCTTACGGAGGAGCGTTGGGCCCGTTATCCAACATGACCAGAGATCTTATAAAAAGAGCACCATGTGAAGAAAATGAGAGCTGCGCCCAGGGAAGAGGACGTGAAGGCACAGGGAAGTACGGTCTACAACAGTATCAGAGATCCCGGCTGACCACAGCAGCCAGGAGAGACGTAGATCAGACTGTTCCCCATAGTCTTCTTCCTGCTGGCACCGTGAGCCCAATGTCTGGCCTCCAGAGCTGCGAGACCGTACATTTGGGCTGGTTCAGCCATGCCGCTTGCGCTGCTTTGTTACAGATGCCCTATTGTGACCAGAACTCCTGACTCCGCTTCAGCGGGTTAAGAAACATAGCAGGTTAGCAGAGCACACTCCTGGGTGTGCCTGGGCAGCTGTAGAAGTGTGAGCTGGGCACCATATCCGGTCCCCTGACCATCCTTCCCTGGCACAGTTCCCAGCTCCGCCTTCGGTTCACCGTGAACTGAGTGGCTCTGTCCTTCACCCGGTGATGCGTTGGAGCCAGCCGACCAGAGACGGGAACTGTGGGCCAAATGAAGCCGCTGCCCTCCTTCAGGCTGTGGGTGCCAGCGCTTGTGTCTCCGCGATGAGAAGGCTGATACCTAGGAACCCGGTACTCACATGTGTGAGGGTCACTTGGTAACCAGACTAAATGTCACAAGGATTCAGAAGAGGAAAAAAATGCTTTACAAACTAGAGTTCCTTCTCATAGTTTCGTGGAGCAGAGGGGACTTGTAGCTGGACCATGAAATGACTAGAACTTGGAGACACAAAGAATAGAGAGATTTGGGGAGGAGAGAAGAAAAGGAGAGGGGACGGTCCTATGGGAACAGTGCTGACGGAGAAATGTTTCCTTCGGTAAGAGATGCGGTGCTCTGGTGCGGATGGGGGCAAGCACGGGGCTGCAGAGAGCGGCAAGCTGGACGCAAAAAGTGAAGTCAGGCTGGGGCTGGAGCGCAGGGGGAGCGCACCTGCATCGTATGTGTGAGGCCCTGGGTTCACTTCCCAGACCACAAAAGATTGACAAATGTAGATTACTGAAGAACTCACTGCTGGGGATATAGCTCAGTGGCACAAGTGCCTGCCTGGCAAGCCCAGGGTCCTGAGTTCAATTCCTGGTACCAAAAAAAAAAAAAACTCACATGGTGCACGACTGTAATTCCAGCACTTGGGAGCTGAGGCAGGAGGATTGTTGCAAGTTCGAGGTCAGCCTGGGCTACAAAGTGAACTCAAGGCCAGCCTAAACTACATAATGAGACCCTATCTCAAAAAAGAGACCAAAAAAGAATTCACAGAGTCTTAGATTTCAGGGCTTTACTTGTATCCAATAGGTAGGGGAGAATTATTATTATTATTTTTTTAATTTTAGAAATAAAAGGAGGAAAATACTAACAGATCGACAACGTTTTACAAAATAGCAAAGGATCA